TAATACATATATGCGTGATTACAGCCAGTGATAAACAGAAAATAGATCCAAGGGACTGTGCTGGGAAGTAAAACTGTTGTCTAAAGTTGAGTAAAGTAAAGTCTATGTCAGCAGTGTCCATGTAAACAAGTGATACAAATTTCCATGGAAAATCCTGACCAGGGAGCTGAAAAGTGTATCTGGATTTTGGTATGACTGCAGTAAAGTGTCTACACAGCCAGAGAAGACGACTTGTTATGTTGCCAACAAGCAACACTCATACAATGGCTGATGGGTGTTTCTCCCATATCATCTTTACTTTTTACATTTTCATTATCAGACATTAGAAATACCATTATTAATATATCTGATAAAATTCGTTGCCCAGCTACAGTTCTTCCCCCAAAATGACTCAGAAACTAGACTAAGACGATCAAATCACGCTACACTGAGTAGCCATTACAGAGCCAGCTATCCAACGGAATTCATTTTAGTATTCTATTTTCCTCCATGTCAATTAAATTCCATCATTTCCTCTAACGCTCAGTCAGATAAAAATATTCATGTGGGAAAGAAGGGGATCTCATTTAAGGATTTGTGATGTTTACGAAGACTTGTATCCTGACTGTTATAGATGCGTTCTCTTAGCATTCTGGCACTTCCTCTATGACAATGTCCAACTTCAAAACCACTCAACTGCCTCATTAATTCTCATTAGTTCTGTTCTCACGACAGGAAGGCAAGCTGAAGGGTGAACATCTAGTTCGAAGCAGTACTTTGTGTTCTTTCTGGGAAACAGGATCAGGGGAAAAAAATGGAAAGAATGGATGCTGTCCATCTCATGAAGCGAAAATAAGCAGGAAAGACCTCACTAAAACTTCTAACTCAAGAATTTACATCTTGGCAGTCAGCCACTGTAATCTCAAATGGATAGCAACATGAAGTAATTATTAGTGCTGTCTGAATGTTAAGTTATATATATATATATAGGGGATAAAGTAGTGTGATTGTCACTATACTTGTTAGTGTTATTAATTTTCCAGAGTTCATTAGAGATTTAGCTAACAAATTCAGTGTGTGAACTGTGTGCATAGTAAAAGACAAAATATACATAAAACAAATGATGCTTTAGGAAATGCATTACTCAATTAATACTTAACCAACATTGTTTTTCATACATTGCTAACTCTCATTCAATGTGAACACATGCTATTACGCTGAATCATTATGCTGTCAGCTGACATCATTGATGGTCACCTCCCCTTCTGTCCTATGTATGGACGTGCTGTTTAGTCTGTTGATGGTAGATGGTGGACTCAGGTGCAGACCAAAACAACCACTAGGGGTGGTCTCAGCCTGGTTCCAAACAAGCTATTCTGTATTACAAGAATACAATCTAACCTCGATGTAGTCCAATTATCCAATGTACAGTGCATGTTTTAGCTTAGCACTTTCACACACACAGGAGAGTACACAAACCGTAGTAACAGCCTGCTATACACCATTTAGCCTGAAATATCTATCAAATGAACATAAATATTTGCAGTAAATTCTCCATGTTTTTTAGTCCAGAATACAGCACCTTTTCCCTGTATTTACTTTTGTTGATACTACCCCAAACACATTTGGCCAATAAGTAGATTGAATGTTGCCAAATAATTTGTAGTGATGCACTTTGGTTGGCTAGGAGTTTTCTGTGTGGAAAGAAAAACCATACCACAGGAAAAAGCAACTATTTTACAAAAGTATCATCTGATATAGAACAGAGTAAATAGGTCTAGGTGTAGACACAGGACATTTGAGGATGTCCTATGGTGGCATCGGGAATCAACACACACTGCGAGCATAATTTTGGCTTCTGTGGATCAGGCTTGTTGGAGCACATCCCAAGGATGCTTAATTGCAATGGGATCTGTGGAGTTTGAAGGCAAATCTTTGTGCTCATTACCATTTGTCCTACTGGGGGAAGATGCTGCCACTGCGGAGTGCTGTTGCCATGCTTGCTGTGCAACCACCTTTAGGTGGGTGATATGAGTCAAAATAGCATCCCCATGTTGGGCTGGGGCCCAGAACATTGCACTGGACTAAAAAAAAGCCCTGGCGGTTTACAATTTTTCTGGCACAAACCCTGTAATGGTGCTATGACTGGTGCATATGAAAAATCTAATTAAATGTTTCCGATCATTTTAAAAAAAGAAAAAAAAACACACCAAGCAAGCAATGGGTTAGAGCCATAGTACAAACCACCGTGGCTGCAACCAACACAAAATCCAATGCAATAATCACAGAGATCAGCAGAAGAAGCTATTGAGTCGGTGAACAGCTAGGCCCCAGACTACCAACAAACACGGGTCCCCCATGCAGTATTACTTTTACATGCTCATTTGCCAAACAGCAATACCAACAACAGGTGGTTACAATCAGCACAGGGCCATTATTCATGTGGTAAGCCGTCCCTCTGTCTGTCTCTCTCTCTCTCTCACACACACACACACACACAAACCGCAAAGAAAATTCTCTATGTGATTATGCCATGACTGTGTGGCACACAGCTATGTGTAATATTCAATGTTTTTTAAGGTGTCCTTTTAGTTTAATGCAGAAAAACATGTAAGGTTTTACATTATTCGTATGATAATGCCGACTAGAACGACTAGACTGAACGACAAGAAGAGAATTCGTGTGAGAAAAAAATGAGTATTTGTACACGCTATGGTATAAGAAATTACTACTTTGATTTGTGTTTCCCCTTCAGTGACTTTTCAAATAATTAACTATACTCCGTCCCCCGCTGGGAGCAAGCTGTATCAAGCTGTATTTCATTCGCGTTTTAAAGCGACTCTCTGCCGTACTTTCACACCGAGAGCACGCTGAGCGCTTTCCAGGACTCCTCGGGATTAGACACAAACCATAACAACCACTTAACACTGTTTTTTTTTTGTTGTTGTTGTTGTTTTTATTATCACCACATTGAGTGCCAGGTCACGACTTTGACGCCAGGCTCGCAACGTTATCCCCACAACCGCTTTATTTAACCGCACTGTCTTTCTTTAGTCTGCATGCGTTTCCTTCTCTCACACCAGGAAACGACACATTAGTTGCTAGCTAAACTTAGCTAACGTTTTTATAGTGGGCTAAATGTTAAACATATGATCCTGTAGAATTGTTATGTGTTTACGAAGAAATTGTTCTCGAGAAGAGCTTCGTTGGTGGTCTGAAAGTTGTCGGTTCAATTCCCCGCCATTACTAAAACTGTCCCATGAGCAAGACATCACTTACTTTAAGACCGTTACTCATCCTGCGGGGGTTACATCACGCCTTTCTTCTAAAATAATACACACTCATGACATAAAATGGCATTTAAACATATATATAATTCTTTACTAATGTGGTACTTTTACTCATACAGCCAGGTTAGCCTGTACTCACATGTTCTGAATTGGAGGTCTTTATCGTCCGGGCTACCAAATTCCTGCAGGAGGTAAATATACATTACACCGAAGGCGTTCTGGATCCCAAACACCGAGCCGTTGCACCACATGGAAGCCAACATGACCACCCATCCCCAGCCGCCCTCGGGGTGCACAAACTCAACCTCCTCCTTGGCTCCCGGACCCTCGCTTTTCTCTGGGATATCCACTTTGCTGTCCCCGTTCTCCTTATTCTCCGTCTTCTCCTTCTCCCCATCCTGCTCCTCCACTGGACGCTTCTCCTTTGCGGGTTCGCTGCCGGCGGGTGTCTCGGCGGCTGCATCGTTTTCTGGCATATTGTTCCCTTCTGTCATTTTTTAAAAATAATGTGTCAAAAAGGCACTGCGGATTTTGAAGTATGGAGGTATTTCGCGTAGGCTGGCAGGGAGAGGTCAATAAATTCAGACACAGGATATGACAGAGATTTGGGGGTACGGTAAAGTTTTATCCATTGACTGGGGGCTGTAGCTTCCGTAATGCTGGTATTGTAGCATGTGCAACTGTCAAACATCTGCCGTTGCACTTTTATAAATAGACAACGCAGAGGGGCGGGGCTGCGGGTATCCTTACACTGCAGCTGCTGAGGCGTTTCCAGGATATCTTCAGTGGGGTGGCACAAGTCTAAGAGTGAGTGAGTGTGTGTGTGTGTGTGTGGGGGGGGGGGGGTTCCAGCAGAGAACAATGTAAGCATATGGAAGAATATTTGACCATTTGACCTTATACAAATACAGTATAGAGAACTAGCACAGCAAACATTTGAGGCTAGTAAGTCGAACGGTGAGAGTTTAAAGGTACTTTTTGTTTACCCTTGTTTACCCTACTTTTTATTACCCTCTGCAAACTTTAAACAAGAATTTAACCACCAGAGGCCAGCATTTAATCAGTGGATGTATTGTAAAAAAAAAACGCACGCAAATACAATGTTCCGTCCTCTCTTTTGACTTTTAATGTATGCTTTTATTCCTACCTAAAAGACCCTGTGCATGAGAAAATGCTAACTTCCTGGTTTGAGACCGGAGGGTTGTACATTTCCGGTAGCTTTACTTTGTGGTCAATCGCTACTGCGAAGATATACTCCAAAATCATGTCCAAAACTCGAAAACGTAAAGATCGCGTTAAGTTACAAAGAGCAGAAGGTGGGAGCACTCACCACTGTTGTGTCATAAAAAATCTAATGATCAATTTTGACGTTTAAAGAGTTTAGATCGATCAGTTGTTTACATCACTCAACACAAGCATAACTGCATTACAAAATCAGAAGACACATCGTCCACATTCAGAAGCACATCTCTGTATAGTGACTGGTCTTATGATTTAAACAGGCAAATGTTCAGCATTCAAACTA